CTTCTTGGACTTCCCACGCTCCTGTTGGGGGCTAAGAACACGCTTATCTCCCTGAGCCTGGCCTTCATAAGTCCATTCCATCACATTGCCTATTATATAATTTACAACTAAAACCTGCCTTTAATTTATATGTAAACACACAAACAAACACAGGAGCATGACAAATTTTAATGTTGGGAGCAGTCAGTTGTTTATGAATGGCTAAGAAAATTTTTTGAAAAAGGAGCCAATGTGATGCATGGCCAGTCCTAAAAATCACAGGACAATGAAGATATGTGGGAAAAACAAGTCTTGAATATAACTTTCCTAGTCTTTGTCTGATGTTGAATAGGGATCCTGAAATACTGTCTGCCTCAGTGAAGTTACGTAATGAACTAGTACTCAGTAGTTTTTAATGTTCCTCTGAAGTGGGATTGGTCATAGTTACCAGTATGTATGTATATATGTACGTACATGTGTGTGTGTGTGTGTGTAAGAGAATGATTGTTCAGATGATCTAATAGCATTCTAGTCACTTTTATTTATTATTTTTAGTCCAGCGAATTGAAGCAGAAGATAGCAGCACATATGTAAGTGAAACATTTGTATTTCTGTGTGTGCATGTAAGCAGTCATGAAGACAAGAGATTGTTATGACTTTTTTTTTAACTAACCTTTTTCCTGGTTTGTAACACCAGGGTGGAATTGGAAGGAAATAATGCTGTCATTAGCAGTAAAGTTGTCCTCATTAGTTCAAGTAGATTGATAATCCACAGGAATAATTCAGTTCAGTTAATGTTCATTTGGATCTATCCAGTATATTTGAAATATTTTATATATTCCTCCAACAGTGCAGCAAAACTAAATTATTTTTGCTTCTGACCTAGTTTACATCTATGAAAAACACTATTCCTCTTCACAAATTTAAATTTTTGCATGTGTCTGTATAGATATGGTTTAAAATATATGCCATAACAAGTGTCCCTGCTTTTAAAATTATTGAACATCTTTGGTTTCTAATGTGTCTGCTTTTTACATTTATGTATTCGATTTGTGATTCAGATATAAGGTTGCATTTATTATCTACTCTTGCATTGTCCCACCTCTGGCTGGGGTCCTGGGTGCTGAATCATTGGATGCTTTAGACTCAGGCTGATTCTGCTGAATCACCACTACATGGTGATATATATATCACCAAGACCTGACTGGGCGGGGATGGAAGGGTTCCTTTATCAGGAATTTACCCACCTGATTCTGGGAGGTGCATCAGATTCTCCTTTTAAGGCAGAAGTGCAATGATAATCCATGAGATCTGTCGTGACCAGATGAGTTTTTGTGCAGGTGACTGTCATCCCTTCTCTTCTGCCTTATACGTAAAGTTGGGGATCATAGACAAGCTGGGGGTCTTGCTGTTGTATAGTCTTCTGTGCTGCCCAGCAAGTTGCCTTCCCAGACATATTGATCTTATTACTCAGTAGTGATGGATTCCCTAGGCATTCATCCTCCAAGCCTTGAGGGTTTGCTCAGGAATTCATGGCTGTCAGCACAATCATGAGCTTTTCATCCGTGTCATGATCTCACTTTGTTTTTTAATAGCATTGTATTGGTTTTATATTATTTATATTATTGTATTGGTGTACGGGGTGTTCAGGGAGGAGTAACACCTCTGGTAGAAGGGACTACTGTGCCTTTCTAGGGCAGCTTGTTCAACTTTGGTCCCCACCTGATGCTCAGCTCTCACCTGTGACTCCAAGTAGCTGTAACACATGCAGTGGCCGCATCCCGGTAAACAATCTCAGCAGATGGGCCAAACCAGGTGAGGGTAGCCAGTGGGTCTTTGACTCTTGGTGAGATAGGGGATTTGTCTATCCCAGTGTGTGAAGTCTGGCTCTGGCAGATTGAGCGGAGGCGACTGATCAGTGGTCCAATGGTCAAGAAGGCAGGCCCAGCAGGCGTTCTGCAGCACTAAGAGCATGACAAGACACTTATATCTCCTTGTCATCCACTGCAGCAGGAGAGGTCTCCAGCCGCAACAGTTCTCCTTGCCGCTGGATTAAGGTCTCTTATGCCAAGAGAGCAGGATTGCCCCTTCTAAGATAGCTCTGCCCACCCTCACATGCAGGAGGAGGTTAGAAAAGGGGTTACCCTAAACATTGCCTGCCTCACAATATCTGGCTAGCTAACCATGGCTGGCAAATCCTCTACTTAGGGGTCGAGCATCAAGAAAAATGAATAAAAGAAAAGTAGTTTTCAGAGCCTGGAATGTCCGCACCTTGCTGGATAGAGACAGGGTGTCAAGGTCTGAAAGATGAACAGTACTCATAGCAGCTGAACTTTGCCATTATAGCATTGACGTTGCTGTACTCAGTGAAACCAGGCTGGCAGATGAGTGGTCATTACAGGAAGCAGTGAGTGGGCATACGTTCTTTTGGAAAGGGAAACCACAGACTGACAACAGGACTCACAGAGTAGGTTTTGCGATCAAAACTGTTCTGCTGAAGAACATCTCTCCTCTACCCATTGGAATAAATGAACACATTATGAAGCTCTGCTTTCCTGGTATATCACCATTGTCCTGGTATATCACCATTGTCAGCACCTATGCACCAATTCTCATGAGTCCAGATGAAGACAAGGAAGGTTTCTACAAGGACCTGGACCAGATTATTTGAACAACCCCCGCCAGCGACTTCAACTCTAGGGTGGGGACAGACAGCAACAACTGGGACAGGGTCCATGGGAGACATGGGGTGGGAAAACTAAATAGCAATGGCCTGCTCCTTCTGAGCAAATGTGCTGAGCACAACCTGTGCATCACTAACATGATGTTTAGACTTGCAAACAAGTACAAAACTACCTAGATATATCCCAAGTCCAAACACTGGTACCTCCTTGACTATGCCATAGTACGTCAGTGCAACCCTAAAGATGTCACCATCACCTGAGCCATGTGAGGTACTGAGTGTTAGACAGTTCATAGGCTGGGCTGGTCAGTCCTCAACCTGCACATAGTCCTTTTACATTGTAACCAACCGAGGACTGTCAGAAAGTCATTCAACTTTGGCAGACTGCAAGACCCAGGCCAAGTCTAACATTTCTAAGGTGTACTTAATGAAAAACTCTCCAGCAATTTACTGCTTGTAGGAATCTGTTCTGAAAAATGGATGCAGTTTAAAGATGTCGTCATGCAGACTGCAACAGCTGTACTCAGACTGAAAACCCAAGCACATCAAGACTGGTTTGATGAAAACCATGAGACCATCTCAGCAGCCCTCCAGGCCAAGAACAAGGTCTATGCAAACTGGCAGAAAGATCCATCAGCTGTCTCAAAGAAAGACAAGTATTAGCACCTGCAGTCCAAAGTACAGATGGAATTGTGAGAAATGCAGGACGAGTGGTGGCAGACAATGGCTGAGCAGGTAGAATGCTGTGCCACCAGAGAGTTCTTCAGCGCCATAAAGTCAGTTTATGATCCTTATAAATTATGATGCTGCACCCTGCTGTCATCTGATGGGTCGAGCCTGATCAAAGATCAGAAAGGACTGAAAAACTGCTGGGTTGAACACTTTTCCAACCTACTCAAGAGGTCGTCCATAGTTGATCCTGATGTTTTACAGCAGATTCCTCAGCTGCCAGTCTTGGATACCCTTGACCTGCCTCCCTCTATTAATGAGATCAAGAAAGTGATCTTGCGGATGAACTCAAATAAAGCAACAGGACAGGATGGCATTCCTGCTGAGATCTACAAAGCATTAGACCCAAACGCCTTACAGGCATTCCAAGTCATTTTGGAAGACATTTGGTCCACAGAGGAACTGCCTGGCAACTTCCATGATGCCCTCATTGTGGCTCTCTACAAAAATAAGGGAAGCAAATCAGACTGGAAACTACAGAGGTATCTCGCTGCTGTCCATTGCAGGCAAGATATTTGCCTGCATTCTCCTGAACAGATTTGTCACTGCCTCAGAAAGGAACTGTCTCAGAAAGGAACCTCCCAGAGGCACAGTGTGGCTTTCAGCCAGAACAGAGTACAGTGGACATGATATTTGCCATGAGGCAAGTGCATGAGAAGTACATTGAGCAGGACAAGTCTCTTTACTCTGTCTTCATTGACCTGACAAAGGCATTTCATGCTGTAAACAGGGAGGCTTTCTGGATCATCCTGAAATGTTAGGATGCCTGAGGAAATTTGTGAAGTTGATTCAGCTGTTCCACAAAAGAATGACAAGGCAGGTTCTTTACAATGGTGATATATCAGCTGCATTTGCCATTTCCAGTGGGGTAAAACAGGGTTGTGTGCTAGCCCCACTCCTGTTCAATTTGTTCTTTGCTTGCATGTTGTCACGTGCTGTCCAGGGTCTGAAGGAGGGAGTGTACATCAGGTACCAATTGGGCGGCTCTCTGATCTTCACCGCTTGAACGCACAGATGAAGTGCTTCCATACAGTCATCCAAGAAACCCTCTTTGCTGATGACTGTACACTGCTGGCGCACAAAGACAATGATCTACAGTTGATGCTGCAGAAATTCTCAGATGCTGCTATGCTCTTTGGCCTGACTATCAGCCTGAACAAGACTGAAGTATTTTACCAGCCCATGCCAAATACCAACCCTGTAGAACCAGAAATCACTGTTGACGACACCCAGCTGACAAATATAAACAGCTTCAAATACTTGGGAAACATCATCTTGAGTGATAGGTCTTTGGTCAAAGAAATTGACTCCAGGATCAGCAAGGCCAGCCAGGCACTGGGGCGGCTGCATACTAGAGTGCTCAACCAACACAACATCCGTATCTCCACAAAGCTGAAAGTCTACAGAACTGTGGTTATCCCATCAGACAATGAGAAATTTCACATGCACAATCTCCATTCCATCCTCAGCATTCATTGGCAAGACCATGTCTCCAACCTGGAGGTCTTGGATCATGCGTAGTCCACCAGCATTGAGTCCCTGATTATCAAAGGCCAGATTCAGTGGGTGGGACGTCATCAGAATGGATGACCTCTATATGCCTCGCCAGCTGCTCTGTAGTGTACTGGAGTCTGGGAAGAGACCTTGAGGTCAACCACGCAAGCACTACAGAGATGTTGTGAAAGAAACCCTATGCCACTGTGACATCCAGCCAAGGGAACTAGAAGCTGTGGCTGCTGACTGAACCCACTGGTGAGCCTCCACCAACTCTGAAGACAGGTACCGGCAAAAAATGATAGAAAACCATGAGTGGTATCATAGAATAACACCCACAGTTACTACAACAATGGACTTCCAGTGCCCCCATTGTGCTCTGTGCTTCAAGACTGGGACTGCAGAGCCACCTCGGTGTCCACAGATGGACATGTGTCTTCTTTGAACCTGAAGGACTTCTATATATATATATATATATTGGTTTTATGGTGGGATGCTGGGTTTTTTTTGTGTGTGTGTGTGTAAAATAAAATAAGTAAATTGTTTTGCCTTTTAGTTAAAAAAGCCATATCCTTACAGGGAGAAATTAAATGAAGTCCATGATGAGCTGCAGAAGAAGGAGACTCTTCTTGCAGACCTCCAACCAGATTTAAATCAAAATGGTAAGTGATCTATTCCACCTTTCACTTTTTACTACAGGTACACTTTATTCCTATTGCAGATATAAACTTTGGAGGACACTAAACTTTCTGTATTTGGTGTCTTTTACTACCCAATATAATGATAAAATACTGCAAGAAGAAAGATTGAAGAATACATCCCTTTTCTTTTTGTTTGCAAAAGTCATATGAAATTATTAAATGCAGTATGTAAGATGACTTTGAGCTGTATTTCCTGAATACTACAGTGAAGTGCAGCTGGTTGTAGGGGAGAAATGGGGACCTTGTGATCCTCCAGATGTTGTTAGAGTCTTACTTTTATCAGCATTAGTGGGATCACAGCCTGTACCCTTAAAGGATTACAACTAATCACTGCTCTTTAGGCCTCTAGAGCTAACTTTATTTACATTCTAGTGTTATTGGTTGTTGCAGATCTAGATATTTATTTCTACTAATTACATGGGTTTTCTAATAATAGCACAAAAAATAGAAGAACTAGAGGCTGCTTTGCATAAGAAAGATGAAGATATGAAATCAATGGAAGAGAGATATAAGATGTATTTAGAAAAAGCAAGAATTGTGAGTATTATTTTCTATAATACCAGATAATTATTTAAGAACTTTTGAACTGGAAAATAGTTTCATTCCCACTTCTACTCTTTTAAAGTTACATTAGGTCTCTATTCTACGCTTAGGTTTCCTAATTTAATTTCCTAGGTGGCAGTATCTAATCGATCTTAGCTATTCTAAAAAATAAATAAACCAAGCAACCAACAAACCAAAACCCCCAACAATAGCCTATTCTGCTTCTTTAGGAAAGGTTTATCTCATCCTGGAAAAAGGAAATAGAATAAAATCTATAGCATTGTAGATTTTTATCCCAGTCACTGATAGCTTTGGATCTAGAGAAAGCAAAGTTAAAAGTCGGTTGTTGGATACTGATTATCAAAAGGATATATGTACCATCTCCTTTCCATTTAGATGGAGGATTAATAAGTAATTATTAATCACTGCAAACCATGTCACAATCACGTATGATAGGCATCAGAAAGCCTTCTTCTCAGCCAGGCTGAACTCATAAAAGCAAAAAGCAGAGCAAATTTGCTGGTGTAAATTAAAGGAAATAGTAGGCTGGATGGAAAAGTACAAAGTGTCCCAGAGCTATAGGCTAGGCTGGAAGGTTGAAAAAACATTCTGGAAGAAAGAGTAGTCGTAGGAGACCACTTCCATATTGTTGCCAAGAAGGTTAGTTAGTGGTGTCCATGAAGTCACCAGAAGTTGAGCATGATTCAAAGAAGACTTCTTTTTTCCTAGTTTTGGACTTTCCATTCAGCAATACAAAATTGTTCCAAATGCTTTTAATATAGGTAGCTTGTTCAGTTAGAATGGCAAATTTTAGGCTATTTGATTGATGTATTGTTGCATATTTTATCTCTGACTTGATTTTGTAACTAGATAAGAATCACTGTAAAAATAATGTATGTTCTTTGTGCAGGTCATAAAAACTTTAGATCCCAAATTAAATCCTGCATCTGCTGAAATAATGTTGCTGAGAAAACAGTTGGCAGAGAAAGACAAAAGAATTGAAACACTTGAGGTATTTATTTATCAAATGTATATCTTGCTTTCTGCTCAGATGAACACTCAAGGGAATTTATGATAATAGAACAAAATATAAAACAAAGCGGTAAGACTATTACAATTAAATGCAATATGAAACCTCTTTGATGTATTTTCCTTCTTGAAATGGTAATGAACTCTGTTTCAAGAGCTGCCATAGGAGATGGATGGAATTGGGCTAGAAGGAATGTGGTTAAAATTTGGGTTTACCACTGAAGAAAATATAAAGCATTAGTGGTGCTCAACAAACATTTGTCTTCTTTTGAGGCTTATGGGTTGCTTTACAAAATTACACATGTTTTAATCATTTTTGTTGCTTTGAATGTTGAGGTCCTATAATTTCTTTTACCTACCTTATAACTCTTACAAATTCATTTTAGGGACAGTGTAAGTTGGCCAAGCTTCAGGACCATGAAGAAAAGTTAATTGTATCTGCATGGTATAACAAGGTGAGCTACTTGTGCACATGGGAAAGAACATTTGTAAACATGAATGAAATCTAAATGTATTCTGCTGATGGAAGCAATTTCCAGTGACAGATTTCCCAGTCTTCATCCTGCCAGTCCTCAGGCACCCCCAAATACGATTCCCTAACCTTGTGCAGCAGATTTTAAGAAGCTACAGGAAGCCACAGAGGGGGAAGAACATCCTATTATGCAAGCACAACTCTGTCCACATGCAACATTGGATTTTATCCTAATATCTTTCAGAATCAAATAACCAAATTTGATTATTAAAATTTGTACACTTCCCATTTATTGAAATGATGGTTTTCTCTGCTATCTCTGTGACTATACACAGAGTTTACATTTCTGTGCAGAGCTCCATTCAGGGCCGGATAATTTTACAGAAATGTTTGGTGGGAGCCCCACTCCATAGAACTAGGCATGGATCCATCTGAACTAGTTCTGTGGAGAGTTTGTTTGTTTCTGACTAACACAACAGTTTGTTTTTGACTAACACAACAGTAGTACATTTGTCCTTGAGCTCTTCTTTCTAGCAAGATTCTTAATTTTTAATTAACATTTTACTTCATTTTTAGTGTTATTCTTCTCAGCTATTCTTGACCTCTATACTGTTGTTTGTTCTCCCATAGCAGGCACTGGGCATTCAACTAAATGGCCTTTAGGGCTCTATGTCTCCTGTGAGGGGGTGGTAGTGGAATAACACAAAAAATGTGCTACCTGTTTTGCTGCCAAATGGTGGTATGGTCTGAAGAGCCTCTGTTTCTGAAACTTATTCTGGGGTTATGATGTGTAATTTTCGTATCAATTATATAGCATATAATTTGAATCCTGTATATGTTTAATATCTGTTTACTATGCCTGATATTAAATACATCTCTTCAATATGCCAGAAAAAAAAATAAGAAAATAGTTTATACATTAATAATTTAGCAATAGTAGAAGTTGTCCATCATAAGCATTATCTTTGAGACTGAATGCAGGGGATCATGGATTTAAGTAGCTTATCTTGCTTCCTTCCAGAGTTTAGCATTTCATAAACTAGGAATGGAATCCAGACTTATAAGTGGGAATACTGTCTACAAGGATGGTCATTCGTACCCACCTGCACACTCTTTCCTTGCTCAACAACGACATCTGACCAACACCCGAAGATATCTCTCTGTTAAAGCACCATCTACATCATCGGATTAAATCACAGAAAATATTCTACACTGAAGTGTCCTTAATTTATTTTATTATTCCTGTTTTAAAATGTCAGACAAAGAATGAAAAACTATGATGCTGGACATCAACTGTTTTACATGTGAGATCTATATGCTGCTAAATCTAATTTAGTCAGATGGTAAGAAACAAGGGACATCTAATGATTCCTTTGGGATTCTAAATAGATTTGGGATATGTTTAAAAGCACAATTCTTAAAGGATTTATATTTGTTATCATTCTGTATTGTGTATAAAGATGTTTAAATTGGCATCATATTTAAAATTCTACATAAAAGTTTTCACTCCAGGATAATCACTGGTTTTAATAAGAGTATTTTTTATTAGTGATATGTCAACACAGTTCTTTTTCTTTAACATTAGTTTATTCTTTAAATAACAACACCCAAACTGGCAAGATTCAAGATTCAAATATTCAAGATTCATGGCAGGAAGTCCCCCCCCCTCCTCCACCAAAAGCAGAATGAAATAATTGATTTAATCAATAAAGTTGTAATCTCCAAGGCCTTCTACACTCAGCAAAAAGTAATTAGTTTTATAATAACTTAATCATGATTTTGATATATCAGTATGTTTTTTTTCTTAATTTTGGAGGTTAGTTTTTAAAACCATGGCACAATATTGTTCAAGATGCAGAGAAGGAACTTCAGACACATGAGTGCACATGAGGGATGAAATGTATGTTTGCTTTCAGGGTGGATTTTCCATTTAAAAAAAATGTACATATTCAAGTTAAACACAATGGTAGAAGTCAAAAGTATTCTGTTTGAAAATGAACTATAATGCAATACAACCCTGAACTCATACACCTCAAATAAAATGAAGCCTGTAATTTGGGATTTTTTAGTATGTTTTTGTTTAGCTGGGCACCAAATTTATAACCTGAAATCAGAATAATAGTTTTACTATTTTTGCATTTTAAAACAGGCTTGAGCATGGAAGTTATAACTTCAGTATTAAATAGTTTTGTGTAGATATTAATACCATAAGTCTGACTACAGGTAGTCCTTGCTTAACGATGGTAATTGGGACCAGAATTTCCGTTGTTAAGCAATGCGGTCGTAAAGTGTGACATGTGACTGTGCCACTTAGCGACAGCAGTTCCCACAGTCCCCGGTTACTGTCATTAAGCAAGGACCATGTGGGTTGTTAAGCAAGGCCTCGTGATCGCAGCTTCAGACTTCCTGCTGACTTCCCCATTGACTTTGCTTATAGGAAACCGGCAGGAAAGGTTGCAAATCACGATCATGTGACCACAGGATGCTGCAGCTCTAGGAAATCCAGGCTGGTTGCCAAGCACCCAGATTGCAATCACATGACTGTGTGGGCACTGCAGTGGCCAGAATTTCGAGGACTGGTCATAAGTACCACTTGTTTAGCACTGTTGCAAGTTTGAATGTTCAAGGAACAAGTGGCCATTTAGGAGATTTTTGTTTCATTTTAAATATTAAAATAAAATTGCTAGCATTGCAACAGGTATGACTACTCAGAAATAAATATTGTTGAATTCAGTGGTATTTATTCTCAAGTAAGTACATATAATACATATAATTGCAATTGTACATATACAATTGCAATTATATGTATTGTCAAAGAACTTCACCTTTTTTTCAGTTTCTAGTTTTCAGTGTTTTATATGATTGTTGACTGTATCTTGGGTTTTATTCTTCTGTTGCATTCCACTTGCTTCTTTGTGGTTTGGTAGTTCTCTGAGACTGTTTCATTGCTAGAACCACACTGGCCAACACACAACTATGAGACCACAATCTTGCTTGAGTAAGATTCAGTCACAACAGTGTGCGTTGTGGTGGCAGAATGGTTACTGTTGGCAAACAGAGTTGTACTTGATTTAAAGAATATAGAGAAATATTAAAATCTTAAAGTTCATCTTACTGAAAGCAGGGAACTTAAAATACTTACGACTGACTAGCATCAACAGCTGTTTGCATCAACCTACTTGAGCTAGATTGTGTACTGATAGTTGCGTGTTGGCCATATGGTTCTCCTGCCTAAGTATTTCAGTTTGAAAATCTTTGTATTAAAGAACCATGAAAAATGTAGTCTTTCAGTAGTTCAAAAGAGTTTGATCCAAAAGAATGATAGAAGCAAACTCACTTTTTATTTTTAAAAAATCCATGTAATAGAAAGCTTGAGTTCATTTGCAGAAAAAAGACCAAACTAGATGGATCAGTAAATATATTATTGCTGCTCCTAAAAATATTTCCTTTTCTTTAACGTATAGTATAGTATCTCACCTGTTCATCTGAGATAGAACTAGAATATATGATGCCTTTACTCAAGATAAATTCAAACATTTATGGATGGGAAAATTTGATAACCAGCTCTCAGCTTTAATGGTAGCACTCTCAGTCATGTTTATTTTGTAATCCTAAATTAGTTTAATAAGTTATTAACATGTCTGTGATTTTGTAACTCTGTCTTCCTAAGTACTTCATTTTATAAGAATTGACATAAAAGATGAGATTTTTCAACTGTTATATTAGCAAAATTACTGCTAAAAATAATTATATACACACAGACTGTTTATAAACTGTACATATCCTAGACTGGATTGCTCAGCCTAGCAGAATGTATGTGCCTCACACTTTGACATACACATACATATACAGTATGTGTGTGTTTTTGTCTGTACTCAACAATAACAATTTTATGATATTGCATTTTATTGTTCTGAATATTGGGGATGATAAAATGTAAGTCTAGAGACAGATCTTTGGAATAACTCTTGGCAACTGAATTTGGAGTTGCCATTTTGGTATAGCACTTATTTCAAAATATAAACTACCTCCTTTGAATAATATAATTTAAATATTTGATCAAAAGCAATTGAATCCAGAATTTTATACCTCTTTCTTAGTTAGCAAAGGTTAAACTAATTGGATTATTTTTAAATTGATTCTACAAATTGATTCTTTTTTAAAATTAGAAGTGAATAATTTAACTATATAAATTGAATTTACGTCTCTAGTACTATTTCCCATAATATAGAATATTTAACTGTGGTGGTACTTAGCAATGTGTTCCTTGTATTGATTATGTGAATATTTTCATTAGATTCCAAAATACATGCCGGTATAACTTATGTATTGACATTGTGGTTATTTATAGAATAAGTGATTTTACTTATATAAAGGAATTACACTTTTAAAAAGAAATTTGCTTTTAGAGTTCTGTCTCATTTACTAAAGCACTTCTTAGAATCAATGAAAATCTTCACTTAAAGACTAATGTATTTTTATTAAGATGAAGTAAAAGTGTCCTGTTTTTATCCAATAAGTATTTGCTTGAGATCATATACTTTTAAGCAATATTAATATTTTTTTTTCTTTTAAGCAGTAAATCTGAGATACTTTTAGTTAGACTTATCAGGGTCTAAACTGTATGATATATGCCTGTGTTTGTGCAAAGAAAATGAACTAGAAATAGTAGAAAAATAATTTGCACTACTTTGTAAACATGGTTTTATTCTTCAAGAAGTTTTATATTCCCATTAAAAATTGACATTAATGTTATGGTCTTTGATTATTATATATTGTACTTGTAATCTAATGTGTATCATCAAACCAAGTGCATATTCCTAACAACCGTAGCATATATTTACCACAAATTTAATTAGTAAGTTCTCAGGGGGGAAGATGAAAGAAGGTGATGACCAAAAAAAGAAAAAAGGAATAGCCAAATCTGTCAGTTTTTTTTTAAAAATGCATTTTCTTAAACTCTTGATTTATGGGGGGAAAAGTTTGAGTTTGGGTTAGTTGAATGGCGCTGAATTGGGTTTGCTCTTATTGACTGTATAGATGAAAGTCACAAAACATCCTGCATAGGCTCATTGAAGCTACTGAGCCCTCCCATCACATCAACAAGAGAATCCCCTGGTAAGTAAGATATTCTAAAAATGTAATCATCTCTCTCCCATGGTCAAATTCAAAAGGTACTCCTATACCCTGCTTGGAAAAGTCATGTTGATCCTGCCTCCCATGTGGTTATTAAAGACAAGGGACATAAAATAAAAAGTAGAGATCGTAATCCTAATTAGGACCAGACATGACTAAAACTCAGGTATTCATTCAAAGCTTCTGTCTAGATGTATGAATCTCAGTTTTGCTTTCTGCATTTCATTATTTTTGTGCTATTCCGTAAGCAATTTCTAAACTAGAGAAATTCTTACTAAAGAATAAAATGACAGAAAATTCTCACCTGTTTGTATTCTAGAGCAGGGCTGAACACCCGGTGACCTCAACCACTTTGTCAGACTCAAAGCCTCAAAGCCTCCTCTAACCATGAATACTAAAAACTGAAAGCATAGTTTAGCACTCTTTTGAACTGGGAAATACTTAAAAGTAGTATGAAGCCCAAAATAGCATTAGCAGAATCAAAAAGCAAAATACCCCACCCCGCCCCCCAACACTCACAACAAGAGGTGGAGAAAGTCTCAAATATAGAAGACATGTTGATGGAATCTTACATTTTCTGTTAACAAAAGGTATAGAGCTGCGTGAATACTTAATAGCTCATTCATCTATGAGACAATGGAACAATTTGTTTTATCCAGAATGGTAAAACATTACCCTCTGGGACAAAAGAGTGCAATAAAATTCAGAAACCATTGAGTTTCAAACCCGTATGTAATTATGGTTGTTGCATCTCAAGGATTAGTGAAATCGTTAGCTCAAGCACTCTATATGATACGCTGTATTGCAGCTTTGGAATGCATGTACCAGTTTCAAGATGTCTTCAGAAAGCCGCACTGGTTAGAGACTCCAAAATGTTAGCACTGAAAAATTAGCAAGGCATTTGGGAATGTTTAAGATTTGTAGGTAGGATTTATATTGTTGCTCTTTATTATTAATGGGAGAAAGTTGCTGCAGCTGCTATTTTATTACTGCGTTTTCTATGTTTTATGGTTTGGGCTTTTTAATATAACGTTCCTTGCTGAGACCTAATTTTGGAACTAGGGGTAGAAAAGCAGCATGCAGATTTAAATATGAATGGATAAATTTTTAATTGTGCAATCTAGGCAATATATTTTAACAATTGTTGCTTCAGGATGAATGTTATTTAGCGCAGCTGGGACATTAATCCTCCACAGTTAACTAACAATATATTTTTAAGAGTTTCATTCCCAATGTTTACAGACTCTTTGCTAAACAGTGAACAGAAAACTAAAAACTAAAGCCTCTATCATTCCCTGCGCCCCAGACTTAGGAACAGAAACATTTTGAGACAGAGTTACAGCTTTGTACTTGAAATGTTTACCTTCCCTGAATGATGATGTCTAAAAAGGAAGATACTTTCTAAAGTGGAACAACCAGAATTGTTTCTTTAACAGAGACTTCCTAAGGATGAGGATCCTATTTGTGTGAAATAATGCAGATAGGCTGAACTCCAGGACCTTAAAGTCCAGGTGATACTATAGAATAACCAGGAAGCAACTGGTGGTGATTTAGCAGCAAGAAATCCAGTATCTGGATATCAGTAACTGGTTATTAAAGCATCCTTTAAAAAGAAAACCATTTTATATTCTAGGTTGGCATGGCATGAGAGGTCACAATTTCACGTTCATATCCTTCGAATATCTTGTATCTTCCTGGGAAGAAATGTTCTACAGGTAGTCCTTGTCTTACGACCATTTGTTTAGCAACCGTTTGAAGTTATGATGGTGCTGAAAAAAGTGACTTATGATTGGTCCTCACACTTAACACCCATCACAGGGTCTCTGCTGTCATGTAATCATGATTCAGGCACTTGGCAACCATTGTGCATGTACAACGGTTGCAGCATCCTGTGGTCACATGATTGGCACTTGTGACCTTCCCTGCTGGCTTCCAACAAACTAAGTCAATGGGAAAGCCGGGGAAGGTCGCAAGTCATGATTGTGTGACATCTTGCTTAATGACCATGGCAGAAAAGGTCATAAAATTGGGTGTGGTCACGTGATGCCTCACTTAATGACTGCACCACTTAATGACAAATGTCCTGGTCCCAATTGTGGTTGTAAGCCAACAGTACCTGTACTGTTAGAGAAAACTTTTTAATTACAGAAGAA